GTCGGGGGGGGAGCGGGAGGGTCCTCGGGCTCCGCCAGACGGAGCTGGGTGGGAGTGAGGCTCGTTCGTGGATGATTCAAGCCCGCGGGGCCGGTGCAGCCGCCAGGTGCAGGGAGCTGCTGTAAGGCGAGGAGAGAGACTGCCCCCCACCCCCACGTTTGCATTATGTTTAGTCTGCGGGGTTTTGTTTGCATTGGTACCGGGACAGTCAGACACAGAACGGCACAAGCAAGGCGCTGCTGCCTGTCAGCAGGGGGGTGTGCAGGCCCATACGCAGCCTTTCACAAGGGGGGAGTGTGTGGATGGTCACCCCTTTTGAAACTGTAAGTGCTCTAGGAGGAATGCAGCTGTTACAACCTGGAATAATGGCAGAGGGCACCACAATTCAGCTTAACTCCAGTGTGAAGTGGGGCAGGAACTTAAGAGGGGGTGATGAGGCCCCTAAGGCTTTTCCACCCCCTAGCTGCAGCTGGGAGCACAGTTCTGGCTGGCAGTTGGGACCCTGGGCATGGGGCTGGCAGCAGAAGCCTCTGATGTTGGGGGCTCAGACTGAGACCCCAGCATGTGGGACCAGCAGCAGAGGCCCCCGGCGTGCAGGACTAGAACCAGGACCCCAGCACCTGAGGCTGGCAGCAGAGTCCCTACTGTGCAGGGCAGCAGTCAGGTGTATGGAGCCAGCAGCAGAAGTCCTGGCATGTGGGGCTGATAGCTGGGACCCCAGATCCTCGGCTGGGAGTCCAAGGATGCTGCAGCATCCCTGCTCCCCAAATCCCCACATCTATGCCAGTATGGTGAACTTCAGAATACTGGAGGATGTACTGTGGTCACATATGGCCGAGTTGAGTCTTTCTGGGCCTTGAAGAAGGAAAGAATTTGTTGGAAAGTATTGACCTTGATGGCATTTCAGTGAGAAAACAACAAATTCCATAGTTTTAAAGCCTGCTGCATTTCCCACCTAATGTATCTCTGAGGTTTTATTGATGGCTGTAATGTAAGGCATCCTGAGCAGCATGGACAAAAAGTGCTTACATAAAAGCAAAGTTCTATGGTTGCTGTTATTCTGAACAAATGTTTGCAAAATGAATAACTACATATTGTTGAAATGTAAATAGTAGTGAGATTGTGTCAAAGTAACAATTATTGTTGAAATGTAAATAGTAGTGAGAGTGTGTCAAAGTAAAATTAACAACAGATTTGATGCCCCTTTTAGTGCCTTTGTATTGCATGGTCCCTTTAGACCAGTTTACAATTTAATATTTATCAATCATTCCTAAAATAATTTCTATTTAGACTGTCCCTTCACGGCAAGGGCTTTATCATCAACTTTTGTTTATAAAGACCCCGGCTCAGGTCTGATTCTAGACTGCTGGCTCCTTGGGGCAAGAACAATCTTAATGTTTGATTGTTGGCAGGCACAAATATATTATCCACACTTAATGTTATATAAAACCAAGACTACAGGACCTAGACAAAAATGAGGAAGAGAAGATGTTGGGAGTGAATTTTATAACATGGAGCATTTGTATGAAGTTTTAATTTGTCTGCAAAACATCAAACTGTAAGAGTTAAGATGCCTCCAAGGCTATTTCTGGATTAATTTTAAGTTTACATACCCTGCAGTAAAGTCAGACACATTTTAAAATACTTTTTTCCTAATCAACTGGAGTTCTTTAAGTGAATACTTCCTAAAGAGCATCCAAAAATGTATGTAGAAATCTTCTCCTCGATTGGAAACACGTTATTAGGAACATAGTCCTGATGCTGGTTCTGTTGACATTGATGTATTGTTCTCACTAACTGACATCTGTAAAAAGTATCGGCCATGTTAATCTGTTGTGAAATCTGTACTTAAGAGAAACTATAAGGTAGAAGGGGGGTGAGAGCCAAAACCACAAAGAAATATTGCAATCAACATGTTGCCTTGGAAACTAGATCAGCTGTTGTAAAAACAGTATGTTAGCTTGTGTTCAATGAGACATAGAACCTTAATAGATGAGTTCTGGAGGCTATTGCCTGCCTTACGTAATTGATATGCAATGTAGACCTCCACATACATATGCCTTGAAATTAAAATAGCCACATTTTATCAAAGCCTTTAATCTTAAAGTGTGCAAATTGGGCTGTGGAGCTGTTCTCCCAGTCCCCTTACCCTCCTCCCCTGGCCAGCCAGGGCCAGATAATGCACACTCTGGCAGGGACTTCTGTAACAGCAACCCAGAGCCCCAGGCTAAGAGACCTCGCAAAAAGATCAGGAGTTTTGGTGATCTGAAGATATTTTTGAGGAAGGCCCAGGACTGCAGCCCCTAAAGGCACTTCCTTAATCAGGCCCTGGTTATGAGGATCACTGAAAGCACAGAACAGTGATTTTTTTTCTTTTCCTGGGACATGAGCTGAACCTGCATGGCACTATATTGATAAAGCAGCTGCATGTTGCTTCAGTATTTTCTCTTTAAAAGGATAATTGGTTAATATGAAAGCAGTACTCAAGAGTGCAAAGTATTTCTTCAGCAGCCTCTTAAACAAGTAAGAGACCATTCCCAAGGAAGCAAAAGAAACGCTCAAACTAGTTCTCTGGTAGCCAGCTACGTAAAGGATGAATCCTGGAGGGCTTATGCCCTACCGATCAAATGGACGCTGTAATCAAGGAGCAATGTGGTTGGCATGCATTAGTAATCCGATTTGCTCACTGCAGTACAAGGTAGGCTGAGTCAGATGGTTGGGGAATGTCGGTGAGTTGTACTTGTGGGGTTGGCTCCTCCCCTCGTGTTCATTGGCATAGTGGCATTGAAGTCAGTGTGGCAGGGCCAAGTTATACCAGCTGAAGAGCAGACAGTCTGAGTTCGCTTTTAATGTTCTCCCCTGCATTCCTACCATTTGGCAAAGTGAAAGGAATGCTTTCAAGCAGTTTTTATTGGAAATGACAGCAGTGATGAAAATTGTGATCTCAGTTCTGCGAGGCACTAAGAGCCCTCAACTTCCATGGACTTCTGTGGGTGGCAGAAGTGCCTGGCACCTGGCAGGACTAGGTCCTATCTCTACAGATGTATGGTGCAGCGAGATGAACAAAGACTTACTAAAGAAAAGCCAAGCTCCCACTAATTCATACTAATGACTGGGAGACCAACCATTGTGGAGAACTGAGTTCTTGCGCAATAGTGAAAATATGCAGCACACAGGTGAGGGAGGATGAATCCACACCAGACCACAGAATCTCCTGTGTTAAGCCTGACAAGTAAGCATTGTTTAGAATTCCTCAGAGCACATGTGCAAACAAGGCCATAGAATATTTTGTCTGAGTAACATGAGACCACTGTGATTTGTCCTCCCCCACCTCCACACACACACTAGGTTTGTGGCTCTGTGAATTAAAACTCAGCTGATTCCAGGAAGAT